GTGGGGGGGGGAAAGGCAGAGAGCGGCAAGGCACAGGCCCCTAGTGGGGAGGCCCTGGGGAGTGTCACTGAGGTCCTTGTGAGAAACTCTCCCTCAGGGCCTTCTGGATGCACACCCCAGCCTGATGGCCTTTGAGCAGCCATGCACAGCTGCCATCCGGCAGGCCCCTTTTCTTCTGTCTGGCCTCTGCCCCTCACCACACATGTTGTGGAGCATGCAACACACGGCCACCACCCGGGGGATGTTCCGCTCCCCTACATCCTACCGGATCAGGAGGTATTGGAAACGGACCTTGAGATGCCTTAAGGCGTACTCCATCTGCATGTGAGCTCTGACCAGCCAGACATTAAAGCAGTCCTTGCTGGGGTCAAGGTGGCTGGTGTAGAGCTTCATGAGCCACAGCATGAGAGGGTAGGCCATGCATCATGGGGGATACAGTGGCATGCCCACATCCCCAACCCTGATCACGTGCTCAGGGAAGAAAATGCCAGCCTCCATCTTCTGGAATAAGCTGGAGTTTCTAAAGACACAGGCATCGTGAACCTTCCCCATCCTCCCAACGTAGATGTCGGCAAACTGCCTGCAGTGGTTGACCAGGGTCTGCAGGACCATGGAGAAGTAGCCCTTGCAGTTTATGTAGACCGATGCCCAGTGGTCGGGGGCCCAGATGGGGATGTGCTTTATCGAGCCCTGTGGATGACCCTGCACAGCAGGATGGTGTTGATGGCCCTCGCCACCTCTAGAAGGATACAAACAAACAGAATCACAGGAGTGCCAGAGCCCTTGGGAGGTCCCTGATCTTCCCCCTCCCCCCCACGCACACACCCTAGGAGCAACCTCCTATGAAGCCCATCCCCCCTCAGGGCTGTGTGAGGGTGGGGCTGGAGAATCAACCGGGGAAGAGGGCTTCTCCCCCATACCAGCCCCAACCCCCCCCTTTCCCCATGGTTCCCCATTCTAGCACTTCATCCCTCCTTCCCCCCGGGACTGCAGTCCTAGACAGCCATACCTGCATGACAAGGGCCCCGACAGTCGACTTTTCCACACCAAACTGGTTTCCAGTGGATTGGTAACTGTCTGGCGTGGCAAGCTTCCAGATAGTGATGGCGACCCGCTTCTCCAGAGGGATGGCGGGTCACATCTGGGTGTCCCGTCATGTGAGGGCAGGGGCGAGCAAGGCATACAGCTCCGGAAAGGTCTCCTTCCTCATGATGAAATTCTGGAACCACTGCTGGTTGTCCCACCACTCCTTGACAAGTTAGTCCCACCAGTCAGAACTGGTGTCCAGTCGCCAGAAGCGATGGTGCACAGTGGGGTGCAGCTGGAAGAGCTGTGCTCCCAGACAAATGGTGAGGGCCTCTTCAACGAGCTGGGGGGTTGCGTTCCTGCAGAAACTGGTGCAGAAACTGCAACATGACAGATAGGGCCATCACATGCCCAGAGGCAGCTCCGTCTCCATAGCTGGGAGTGCTGTGGTGTGCAACAGGGAAACCAAAGCATGCAGTGAATCTGCTTTGCTGTCCCCCAGAGAGTTAGGTTTAGCAGGAGAAGCACCTGAGAAACGGCTGTACAAGGGGAGTTCCTTTAAGCACAAATCTCAGATAACCTCATGCAGCAGCTCCAAGAAGCAACTGCTGTCTTAATGCCCTGCCAGAAGTGATTCTGGATGGCCTTAAATGTGATTCAGCATCCAATCAGTGTAGATATTCTATTTCAAAATAACTTAGTGCTATTTTGATGCACTTTTTGTGTGTAGATGCACTATTTCAAAATAAGTTATTTCAGAAAATAAATTCCAAAATAGCTTATTTCGAAATAAGCGTGCAGTGTAGATGTACCCTTGAAGACAAAGTGTCATGAATATTTCTCTGCCTCCTTTAACATTACATAGATCTATTTTGTTGAGAAGCATCAACCATCATGGTTTCCTACAATATAACAACCAACCCCAATTCATCTTAGATAAAATCAAAGAAGTATTTATTGAACGTTTACATTGGATGAAACAGAAATATACATCTTTTAATCCTAAACAAAAGATATAACAATTTTTTTCTAGATGCACTGAGATATATATTATTGTTGCATGATGTTTCAGAAATCTCTTAAAACTTCTAAAGGAGTGCCTTAAAATAGCATGCATGTATCAAGCAGCTTCAACAATCAACAGGGTGACCATGTCTGACATCTTTCAAGGAATATCTTGTCTCCTTAAAATCAAATTAAAGAGAATTTATCTCACCTATGATATAAATGTGAAAGTTAAAGGGGTTATTTGCTTTGTGTTTGTCAAAATATCTTCATATTTGAAATGAACTAAGAAAACACGCAGGCTCAAAACACCTACTGACATGACTAAAATAGACTTCCCATAATAATTCTTTTCCTCACTTACTGATAGCAATGAAATGGATATAAACTGTCTTTTAGGAGTTTTTTGGTGGGTTGGGAGAAAAAGAGAGAGAGATAGTGTCCATATCCAGATAGAAAGTGTAAAACATCAGGACACTTCTGGGGAGAAGGAGGGAGTATAGTTTTGTACATAAAACAAAGCGCCTAATATGAGGATATCTGGTCTCCCTAGTATCTGTTTGTGGAAAGAGCTCTCTCTCTTCATATGACCATTTCTTTTCATCCCTCTGTAAATAAAATGTCATGCTCATTTCTTCATTAATTGATCCCTTTCTCTTACTAAACATGCAGACATGCACTTTTTCAGGATTGTCTCAATGTGTAACTGAAAGTAAAACATAGTTCATTTGTAAAATAACAGTCAAAACAAAAACTTTATTGATGAATAGAGACTACATGACTAAAATCATAAGTATAACATACATTATCAAAAAATTAAGTTTGACATATTTGTTATACAGGCAGTACCCGGGTTACGTACAAGATAGGGACTGTAGGTTTGTTCTTAAGTTGAATCTGTATGCAAGTCGGAACTGGCGTCCAGATTCAGCCGCTGCTGAAACTGACCGCCAGTTCTGACAGATTCAACTTAAGAACCCCAAGCGTCCCCAAGTCAGCTGCTGCTGAAACTGATCAGTGGCTGATTCCAGGAAGCCTGGGGCAGAGCAACTCTGCCTTGGGCTTCCT